GATATAAGCTTATTTATAATACAGGGACCAAAAGTTAATATAATTATAAGGACTATGAAGGGTCCTAAGAGAGTAGATATCAAAGTAGTTAACCATGGGGAGCTATTAAACCAAGACTTGAACAATCCTTCCTGAGCTTCACGTTCATTTTTTCTTAGGGCAAGTCCTTCTCGTACCTTGGCCATGGATTCCCGGACCACTCCCATATGGTTGGCATAGAAGCAGCATTCTTCTTTTAGAGTGGCGCACAGTCCTCCTTTTTGGAGAAGTATAAGATCTAACCCCCGGCGGTTTTGTAACACAACCTCCGATAGTGAGGTTAGGGATTTCTCTGAATTTGAGATAGAGGCTTCTATCCTTTCAAGGTCTACGTCTATAGCTGCCCTCAGGGAATGCATGCCTTGATTCTGTACTGTTAAAGAAGCTATTCCTAGACCGGTCCCTGTTAAGCCAACCAGAGTAGCTAGAGTAAGGGCTATAGTGAGTGGTTCCCTTTTTTCTCTATTAGTTCTGCCCCAGTGTACATACATCTCTTCTTCTGGGTGGTAAAGAATTCGGGGCAGGACAGTCACCAGTATACAATGGTCTGAGGACAGATTAAGTACTTTCAAGTTTAAACAGGGTAAAAGTCCAGCTTTCGAGCAAAGCCACCAACCCCCTTCCCTGAGAATAATCCAATTAAAGGACGGGTTTATTTCAGTATATGAGGTGCAACGCTCTTGGGCATTGGGGGGCTTCCCCACGCATAAGCCCTTTCCTGTTACACGTTGTATAGTAATTCCTACCTTATGGTCTTTCCAAGAGCAATTCTTTGGGTTCAGGTCATGAGAATAGCTGAAAGAGGTGTTAATGCCTATTGCTTCATAAAACGGAGGTTTTGCATCGTAACAAAGCCAACAGGTATGAGTCAGGTTAGGACTAGTACGGTTAAGTGTTTGGTAGGCTGCTAGCATTAAATTCCAAAGAGGGTCTGTAACATCAGGAGTTACAGTGCTTGGTTCTTTCACCGTCTTTCTTGTAGGGGGTAGGGTTCCTTTTTCCGGGGGGTTTAACACTTCATTTGGACCCACTGACCCGGTATCTAAGGGTTCTATTTCCTGTACAATGGTTATCATCCCAGAGGGATATCCCCTATACCAAATTTGGAGACCCCAAGTAAGCCCAGATTTCCACTTAGCTAATTCCTTCTTCCCCTGTTCAGTGAACGAGACTTTTATCCAGTCACATTCTTTACATTTTCCTAATGTATAAGTATATCTGGGCTTGGCAAAAGAGAATGTTACATAGTTCTGGGTTTTTACATGCCACTTCCACTCCCCATCATTAGAGGTCATACAACTCCAACTTTTGCAGTAATACCAAATGAGCCCTCTGCATTGCTGAACATTTCTTTTGTACCAGGGCATGCAAAAAAACCCATCTTATGGTTAAAACCTTCATCCCAAGAACAGCCAGTAAGTTTCACGAGTGAGAAAAATAAGTCAGGCCACCATACATTAAGGGGGGTGGTATGGGTGGTGGAGTTTAAAATCTCATGGGTTAGTCCGTTGCGGATTCGCCATGTAACTTTATAGGGTTGGTGAGCTGCGATACTTATCGCAAGGCGGTAGAAGCTTAGGGTGAGGGCGAGAAGGACTCTAATCTCCATGGTGTTGCATTAACTTGACTTTCAGTGGGTTTTCAGGATCGGAGTACGCTTTCCAATTAGCTCGTGCAGACTGCTGTTCTGTCTGGTTAGCTCTCCTGATATGGGAGTGGTGTATCCAGGTGCTGATTCCATCTACCTTAACAGCAGTGGGGGTCACAAGAACAACAACATAAGGTCCCCTCCATTTCAGTTCCAGTGTCTTTTTCTGGTGCTTCTTTACCCATACCCAATCTCCTGGTTCAAACTCATGGACAATCCCCTGTTCACTAAGAGGACCTTCATATATGGCCTGGAGTTTGGGCCATAATTCCCTCTGAATTACTTGGAGAGTTTTCATCTCCAAGATTAAATCTTTTGACAAGTCATTGGGACATTTTTCCAGGTTGGAAATAATAGGGGGTGGCATCCCATACATTATTTCAAATGGGGTCAGATTTAGCATGTACGGGGTGTTCCTAGCCCAGTATAGTGCAAAGGGGAGGAGGGTCACCCAGTCTCTGCCAGTTTCTATTGCCAATTTAGATAGGGTCTCCTTTAGGGTTCTGTTCATTCTTTCTACCTGCCCCGAACTCTGAGGGTTATATTCACAATGTAGTTTCCAATTTACCCCCAGAGTTGAGGCTAAGCCCTGGATAACTTTACTTACAAAAGCTGGTCCACTGTCTGACCCTAACGTTCTAGGCATTCCATATCTGGGTACTATCTCTTCTAAAATCTTCTTGGCCACTACCACGGCTGTTTCCCTTCTAGTGGGATACGCTTCCACCCATCCTGAGAAAGTATCCACTAACACTAAGAGATATCTGTATCCATATTTACCTGGTTTAACTTCAGTGAAATCTATTTCCCAATGACGGCAAGGCTCCCTCCCCCTCCTCCTTGTACCTGCGTGTGTGTTCTTCCTCTTCTCTACTTTCATGACCTGACAGGCCCGGCACCGGTCCACCACACTCTGAGCCGTTTGCTTCTGATGGGGCATACGGATCTGCCCTTTGTTCAATAACTCCAACATTTTCCGTTCCCCTAAGTGAGTCACTTGGTGGAGGTGTGTGAGAAGGTGCCGTCCCAGTTCTTCTGGGAGAATCAGTTTTTCTTCTGAGTCCATATACCATCCATTCTGATCTTTTTCTATCTGTGGTGATTTCTCAACCCACTGGACGTCTTCTCCGGAATAGCTGGGAGTAGGAAGCAGGGGTTCCAGTTGCGGGCAAGGTAAGTTAGTTATTAAAGTTCCTACCGTTTGGAGGGCCGCTTTCTTAGCTGCCTGGTCCGCTGCTCGGTTGCCTCTTGCTTCAAGGGAGTGTCCTCTCTGATGCCCTGGGGTGTGGACCACCGCTACCATTTGCGGCCGGGTCACAGCTGATAACAAGCAAAGAATTTCTGCCTGGTTCTTTATTTCTCTTCCTTCTGCATTTCTGAACCCAAGCTCCCGGTAGATGGCGCCATGTATATGAAGAGTCGCATACGAGTAACGACTGTCTGTATAGACCATCAGCCTCTTTCCCTCTGCCCTTTCTAATGCTTCTGCCAGGGCGATAAGTTCAGCTTTCTGAGCAGAAGTTCCTGGCGGTAAAGCACCGGCCCAAATAATTTCCTCCCGGTCGTTTACCACCGTGGCACCCGCACACCTTAGTCTATCCTGTACGAAACTGCTTCCATCCATGCACCAGATGAAGTCACTGTTTTCCCGCGGGCAGTCTCGCAAGTCCTTTCTGACCGTATTTACCTCTGCGAGTATCTCTGAGCAGTCGTGCAGGGGTTTATCTAGGTCAGGGTTAGGCAGCAGGGTGGCAGGGTTTAAGGCTGTTGGGGCTAAAAATTGTGCTCTTGGAGTGTCAAGTAATAGACTCTGATAATAAGTCAATCTGGCATTGGTTATCCATTTCCCCGGAGGCTGTTTGAGCACTCCTTCAATGGCATGGGGAGTGGTTACTTTCAAAGTCTGTCCATGGGTTAACTTATCTGCATCTTTAATTAGCAGAGCGGTGGCAGCAATAATCCTCAGGCAAGGGGGCCATCCTGCCGCTACTAGATCCAATTTCTTTGAGTGGTATGCTACTGGTCTCTTCCATGGCCCCTGTTGTTGTGTTAGGACTCCCTTGGCTATTCCTCTTTTCTCATCAACAAACAGATGAAATGGTTTTGTGGGGTCAGGCAATGTCAGTGCTGGGGCTTTAAGGAGTGCCTCCTTAAGTTCTTTAAAAGCTGAATCCCTCTCGGGAGTCCAGTCCCACTCTGACCCTTCCCTGCTGAGCTCATAGAGTGACTTCGCTTTTGTGGCAAAATCTAAAATCCACAGCCAACAATAACCTACTGTTCCCCAAAATTCTCTCATCTGCCTCGGGCTTGTGGGTTGGGGAATTTGTAGGATCGTCTGTTTCATGGCCTCAGTGAGCCACCTCTGCCCAGCTCTTAACTTATACCCCAAATATGTGACTTCTGGCTTAGCTATCTGAGCTTTCTTGGCACTAGCTCGATATCCCAGCTCCCCCAGAGTGGTGAGCAGTTTCCTGGTTGCTTCGAGGCACCCTACCCGGTTGGGGGCTGCGATTAACAAGTCATCTACATATTGTAGTAAGGTTATTTGCGGGTTTTGGCCCCGGTACTCATGGAGATCGTCACTCAAGGCTTCGTTAAACAAAGTGGACGAGTGCTTGAACCCCTGGACCAATCTTGTCCAGGTCAGCTGGCCGAGGATTTTGTCCGTCTCGTCAACCCATTCGAAGGCAAAAATGTCTTGGCTTTGCGGGGCTAGGGGAAGGCTAAAGAAAGCATCTTTCAAGTCCAGGGTAGTATACCACACATGATCTGGGGGAAGATTGCTGAGCAGCGTATAAGGGTTAGGGACTGTGGGATGTATGTCTTCAACTCGGCGATTTACCTCTCTCAGATCCTGCACTGGTCGGTACTCTCCCCCTGTTTCTTTACTGGGAGGAGAGGTGTATTCCATGCAGACCGGCACCTCTTTAGTACCCTTTCCCGTAACAGCTGCTGGATATGGGGCTGTATGCCTTCCCGGGCTTCCCTGGGCATGGGATACTGTCGGACTCTTACCGGTGTGGCAGAGGGTTTTAAGTCCACAATAATGGGTGGTCGGTGTTTTGCCAACCCAATTCCTCCAGTTTCTGCCCAGGCTTGGGGAAACTCTTCCAGCCATGGAGCCATATCCGTTAAGCCTGCACGTTGGTCTTCCACACCTTTATACAAGCGGTATTCATCGTGCAAGGCGACCGTCTGGACCTGTAGAAGGGAGCCTTCCCCATCGGTAACCTGGACACCATTTTTGTGAAAGAATATATGGGCTTGGCTTTGGATAATAAGTCTTTTCCTAACAGCGGTGCAGGACAATCAGGTACAATTAAGAATGAATGGGACACTTGCTTAGTTCCCAGATTCAGCTGTTGCTGCATTGTCCAATGATACCGCTTTGCCCCTGTCACCCCCTGGACTAGGCTAGTTTTTAAAGAAATCTTTCCCTCCTTCTTATTTAGGACGGAGTACTGAGCCCCTGTATCCACCAGGAACTCTACTGGCTTCCCCTCCACCTTCAGGGTTACCCAAGACTCAGGGAGGGGTTCTGAGTCCTGTCTCCCCTAGTCGCTGTCCTCACCTGCCACCAATGTCCTAACAGAAGCAGGCTTTTCATATTTTTTGTTCTCTATCTTTGGGCATTCATTCTTCCAGTGTCCAGTCCCCTTGCAAAATGCTCATTGGTTTGGGGCCAGGGGTGGGTCTCGGCGGGGCCTGTCATGTTGGTCTAGTCTCCTTCCTCTTCCTCTCCCTATGTCTCCCCGAGTTCCAGCAAAGAAAATCTTTGCTAACTCCTTCTGATTTTGTTTATTCTCTTTAGCTTGGAATTCCCTTTCCTCCCTCCGTATTCTCTCCTCCCTTTCTTCTGGAGTTTCTCTAGTATTATACACCCTTTCTGCTACTTTCATTAAGTCCTGTAGGGTCTGCTCACCTAATCTGTCTATCTTCTGAAGCTTTCTTCTGATATCAGGGGCTGCTTGGTTTACAAAAGATAGGACCACTGCTGCTCTACTCTCATCGGCTAGTGGATCCATGGGAGTATACAGTCTAAACGCATCCATCAACCTCTGTAGATATACTGCAGGGCTCTCTGTCAGTCCCTGCTTGACTAAGTTTACCTTGGCCAAATTAGTCAGCTTCCTCGCTGCTGCTCGGAGACCGGCCATTAGAATCTGGCGGTACTTTTGGAGCCGCTCCCTACCTTCTGAATGTTCAAAGTTCCAACTGGGATGAGATAACGGGAACCCAGCGTCAATTAAATTCTGAAGCGTTGTCGGTTGCCCATTATCTCCAGGCACATTTTTCCTGGCCTCGGTCAAGAGCCTTTCTTTTTCTTCAGTGGTGAACAAAACCTGCAATAGCTGCTGACAATCATCCCAAGTGGGGTTATAAGTAAACAATATAGAATCTAACAAATTAATTAGGCTTTGGGGGTTTTCAGAAAAGGGGGCGTTTTGCACTTTCCAGTTATACAGGTCCGACATTGAAAACGGCCAGTACTGCCAGGTTCTGCTTCCGTACTCACAGGGTGGGCCAATCTCTCTGAGAGGCAACACCTGGACAATAGACAATGGAGCTTCAGCCTCCTGGGAGCCCCTCTGGCACGGGCGGAGACCAGAGGCTGGGCCCATAATGACGGGCGGCGTGCTTGGAGCATTCGCTCCATTCCCTCCCGATACTTGTGGAACCTGGAGAGGGTGGGGAGGTGTCGGAGGGGCATAGGGAGGTGGAGACACACTGCTTTCTAGATCCATCAGATCGAGGTCAACCTGAGAATCAGGCAAAACCGGTGGAACAGCTGCTCGGGACCCAGGTCATCTCAGTTTCTCCTTTTCGCTAGTCCCGAGTGAGGATGTTAATACCTTAACAGAAGGGTTCGGAAGAAAAGGTTTTAGCCATGGGGGTGGATTAGTCACTATATCTTGCCACACTAAAATGTAAGGAAATTGTTCTGTGTGCCCACGGGGGCCTGGCACTTGGACTCGGTCGAATACGGCTGTGATCACCTTTCCATCCAGTGAGCCCTCTGGAGGCCACCCCACCTCAAAAGAGGGCCATTCTGAAGAGCAAAAAGTTATTAGTTTATTTCTCTTAATTACCACAGACAAATTAGATCCTCTGGTTTTAAACTCTGAAAAATGTTCAACCATCAGGGACAGAGGGGTAGTCTGTTTCTGTCCCATTTCAACCTCCTTTAAGAAAACATAGAACGAATAAAATACGTGGCCACACAACAAGAGACACGAAAACAGACAGCACAAATATCCAACACCTGGAGACACCAAACCAGACAGCACAAATATCCGACACCCAGAAGATATCTCGTTCCAGCACCACAGATTGGAGGGGCCTCTCCCCTGCCCTGAAGTGGGCTGCTCTTACCCAAAAAAAAGTGCCCACAGCCTGCCCGTGAGTTGAGAAAGGGCTCCTTCCCCCACTCATTCGGCACGTCCGCCGGTTTCCAGCCTTTCCTGATGGACTAGTGTCCTCACGCAAAAGACATATCTAGTCCTGCCGGCTTTTCCTGAAACTTTCCTACTATCACAGACAGCCTCACTCATTCTGAATTCTCCTTTCCTGGCCAACGCACCAAATGTTGGGCCCAGGTTATGAAGGAGTTGTTCGGCGCGAGGAATTTGCCAACACACGACAATGCAAATACAAAAGGAAAGTTTATTTCCTAGCTCAAGCTAGGGTCCCTGCTTTTGCCAACGTAGTGGCCTTAGCAAAAGACCTCATGCTCCGTTACTGTCACATTTTTATAGAAAAATATGGGGTGGAGTAGCACCAAGGCAAAGGGGTACAGATGATTGGTTGTTGCTAAGGGGTTTTGGGGGATGTGTTGGAACCCCCAGCTCCAAAGTCTACTTAGGGAATTATTATCTAGGGAGGATGCATGTGGAAGACTTCAGGAGCCAGGCAAATCTCTGATACGCGCTGAATCCGGAGGACTTCTCTGATGCGTGCTGAGTCCGGAGGAAATCTCTGATACCTGCTGAGACCAGAGGGTAGATAAAGGCCCTAGGGAGTGTTTAGAATCCTCAACATTAAAAGATTTGTTACAATCCCTGACACTAAAAGGTTTCTGGTTAAAGATTTCCCTGGAGGCTATTAGGACTTCGGCCTCAGCCTCACAGTTGTATGTCTACATACATACAACCTATGCATCTTTATATCTCTCATGGTGCCAACATAGTTCCTTGAATGTACAAGGTACTCAAGCATGTGCCATATTGAAGTTAATGAATGACTTGGGAACAGATCTTAGATCATACTTGAAACAGATTTAAGTTCTTTTGATAGCTCATTAATAATAAACACATTGTAGTAGAGGCTCTGATGCTACTTAGAGATTCCTTAAGAAGCAAGGCACTCATTCCTCCAGAGAGTGTTCGCTGCTGATGACTCACAGTTGAACTCTTCTCGGGAGCTATCTCACCCAAGATTATGACCCTTAGCTGAGAACAAATGTAATCCAATGATTGGTTGGGATGGAGTTCAAACACCTTGATCCCTTAGCTCAGTTCAAGACATCTCTGAAAAGCCAAGCTCCCCATGGAATCATCTCAGACTTCCACCAACTGCACCACAATTCAGGTCTTCTCTCTACCCAATCCTCATGCAAATATCTAATTTCCAACTCAGAGTCTGTTTCCTGGTCAAGTCTAAAAGATATTTTTTCATTAGAAGAGCGTTTGGACTTTGGTGTATACTTTGGAGTAGGTTTGAATACAGCTTTACCACTTACTACATTATGAACTTGTAATAACAATTACATTCATCTATTAGTTAGGATTAGGTTCAGCTGTATATAATCAAGGCCCAAAATTAATGCTGGTTTAGTGTAGTATAGAATCTTCATGATATGACTGCTATAGTTCTAGCCATCACATCCAGTAAAATGGAGGAAGCAAAGGGTGACAGGACTGCTCTCTTTAAAGGAAACTTCCTGGAAGTCTCATTTAGTACTTCTGTGTATATGTCATTGACTAGAATATAGAATGTAGTCTCACGGCCACAGTTAGCTAAAAAATATAGTCTTTTAACCACATGCAGATGCTACATAGAGTAGGAGATACAGAAGCAATTGTACCCAGAAGGACACTGTCATTGGCTTCAGGGGTGTTGATAATCATAGCATCACTTAGGATGGGAATCTTTGGTGCTCCCCTGGGCAGCACCAATTGCTTTTCTTTCAGGTTTTTTCTTTGTTTTAAAAAGCTTCACAGTTCTATAGATCCCAATTGCCAGCTTATTCCTAAGTGCTCACTCAGCAGCAAATCAAAGGTCAGTTTCCCAGGGCCAATTTCCCAGGTGCACCTGTCCCCAGCATTTTGCACCTCTTGCTCTTTAGACCAACTCTGCCAGTTTTGGCAAGCTGAGCTGAAAAGGCTGTAGATAAGAGAAGTTCCTGACATTATTGTATAGATTTTTTACTCTGATGACTTTGGCTGCCATCTGTCCCCATTTAACATCTTTGTTAGGAAAATCACATCCCCCCAACTCTTCTGCGTTAAACAGAAGTTCTTAATAGTAGTTAAACAGTGATTAGTGCAGTTGCTGTTCTGTATATTGCACTGAATTTTATGGTTGTTTATGAGCAGCTACATCTGTCTTCCTCTCTTTCACTGAAATTAGTGAAGTACATCTCAGCGTGCTCTTGATCACATCAGATTTGTCAGTCTTTGTATCTGCAGAATTCTGATTTGCTTTACCATACTCACTGCCACTGATATGTATGCCACTATGCTACCAGAGCTCCTTAGGTGGCCCTGGGTTCTGGTATTTGAAATACTGATGGCATAGCTGCCAGCATCATAGCAACATACAAGCCTCTGCAATGATGAACTGACTATTGGTCTTGATGTTATTCATAATTGTTCATAATACTCTTGTATTATTGCTTGAACAATTTCTCTTAGATCAGCACAAGGCTGGTCCCCATAAGGCAGAAGTTAAAGATGTTCCAAATGTCCAAAATACTGTGCCACCCCATCATTTCAGACATTAACTCCTCCTCCTCCTCTCAGTAGGAGCTCTGGTAGCATAGTGCCTAAGGCACTTGACTGCTAACCAGAAGGTTGGCGGTTCAAACCCACCAGCCACTCCTCGGAAGGAAGATGGGGC